ACCACCCCTACATGGCTCCCCAGGCCCCGCGCAGGTCGCTCCCTCGGTCGGTCTCGGGGCCCGGGGGCCGAGCTCCCCCCGCGGCCTCCTCATCGGGGGGCCACCGAGTCCGCCATCTTCCCAGCAGCCCCCGGATCGCGGCCCAGACGCCAACCGCGGCACACTCCTCGGCCAGCACAGACGTGGCTCCCGTCAGTCCCCGCGCGCCAGGTCGCCGCGCGCCCCGCCCCCTGCTTCTGGGAAGCTGCGCGCGCGGCGATGGGGCGGGGCCGGGGCGGGGCCACGGGGCTAGGGGCTGAGGCTGGGATGAAAAGGTGACGGGGGGTCAGCGGCGGGGCTGGGCAGGTTGGGCAGAGCGAAGTGCCCGGTTGGCGCCCTTCATGCCTTGTCTCCCAGTGGGCAAGAGCTCCCCGGCCCCCGGGCCCGCACGAGCAGACATACACCAAGGGTGAAAACTTCACAGTTATTTAATCTGCACATGTTCCAGAGAACCCCCTCCACCCCTCCCAGCTCCCCTACCCCAGCCCCTCAGTCTTTGAGTCCCTAAATCAGCCCAAGGAGCTGTCAGGGACTAGAGGTGGCTGGATTCTCAGGCAGAACACTAAGAAGGGCCCAGGGGCGTGGCCCGGCTCTGCCCAGGGCCAAGGCAGCGACAGCAGCTGTCTGACCCGGAGGGGCCGACTGTTAGTGGGTGCTGAGGGCCAGCTGCCCCGGGGGGCGGCCCAGAGCCGTGGAGGTCGCAGGGAGGGGCCTCCGCTGGCCCCTGGAGTGCTCTGCGGCGCAGGGCTGGGCTCCAGGGTAGTGGGAAGAGGCAGGTCGGAGAGGCAGGCCTGGGCAGACAGCAACTCCCACCGTGTCGTGGGGAGCAAGGTCCGGAGGGGCCAGCAACACTGCCAAGAGCCCGTGGAGGCACTACGGGCGGTACATGGCAAAGGCCAGGAGACTGAGGAGCAGGGTGAAGCCGGCCAGACCCAGAGTGGCGGTCAGGGGAAAGAAGGGCCGGTACTGGATCTGGCAGTACCAGAGCAGCAGCAGCAGCAGAAGCAGCAGGGGCAGCAGGAGGCTGCCTACTTCCAGCCCGGAGGGGCCTGGCTCTGACCCCGGTGGGCACGGTGGGTGTGAGGGACCCACCCGAGTGGACACGTGGCAGTGGAGAACACAGTTGGGAGGGAGGTGAAGGCTGCCCAGGGTCTGGGTGTCGTCTCCTAACAGTTGCCCTTGGTAGATGAGTCGCACATGCTGTTCCCGGCCAGGAAATTGGGTCCTGAGGAGAGAGGGACCTGGGTAATAGAGCAGGTCTCAGGCAATCCTGGCCCCTTGCCCGGAATAACTCTCCCACCCTCACCTCTGTCCTCCACCTACCACCCAAGTCAGGGCCTCTAAGGGGGCCCCTCCTGCTTCAGGGGAACAATACGGTGTGTGATTTGGGGGCCTCAGTTCCCTCATCTATAAACGGAGGGATAAGTCTCAGATACTGATATCCTCAGTGGCCCTTCGAGGTCTGTGATCATTCCCACCCCACTCTTTAGCACTTTATTCCTGTCCTCTCTTCCCGGCTTACCTTTTCAGCGAGCCAATGGTGTCATGGGGCCAGGCCCTGGCCACCTGCTCTGAATCGTTGAGGAATTTCAGCCGAAGTACTAGGGGCTCCTGGGGGGAGTCTGGAGGTGGCGGTGCTGCTGGGAGCCCCATGCCAGGTTCTGGCTGTGCAGCCTGACCTCTGTGTCTCAGGCTGGGGGTCTCAGCTCCTGGGGCCTCCCCTCTGATGCTGTCGGTGACCGCCATGGCTTCGCTGGGCTGTGTCGGTGTTGGGGTCCCTGACGGCTGGGGCAGTGGATCAGCGCCCTCGGCAGTGTGTGTTGAGACCCAGGCGAGAGCCAACACCAGAAGGCAGGCAAGCACCGCGAAAAGGATGGTCACCTCATCACCCACCCCTTCGATCAGGGCCATGGCACCTGCCTTGCCCGCTGCGCTACCGAGCTGGAGAGGCACAAAGAACCCATGAGGGGCTGGCTCACCCGCCAAGAGCCCTCTGAACTTCGGGGGGGGGCTCCTGACCCCACCCCACCACAACTCTCCCACAGTCCTCAGACCTCTACCCACAGACCCGAGCCCCACCGTGGGACACGGACTGCTCTGACACCCAGTTACCCCAAACTTGCCCCACGTACCCCTTCCCATCACCAAATCCCAAGTCCTAATTTTTTGTAAGACCTGAGATCAGGTCTTCAACCAGCTGCCCAATTCACCCAAACCCTATTCCGAGGTCAGGGCCTTGACCTTCTAAGCGACTCTCCCCTAAATTCAACCTCCACCAAACTACACCCCAAAGCTTACCTATTCTTCCCGTCTAGGTAATCCCAAAGTGTATCTACTCCTTCGTCTATTTCACCCAAAGCTTATCTACTCTTCCGTGGCTAAAGTTTCTCCAAGGGGGAAGAAAAAGGTCTCTCCACACACACACCGCCCGGTTACCATTTACCCAAACCCCGACCCCGCGGCACGGGACCGCTTCCCAAGGCTTCCCCACGCCAAAAGTCAAATTGCGCCCTTTGGCAAACTGGAACCTCCGAGGGCTGCCAACCCCCACCCAACTCGGCCCCTCCTGGTGCACTCAAACCCCACCCCGAGGCGGCCCGACCCCGCGCCTCCTCTGGAAGCCTCTCCAAACTCAGCCTGCTGCAGGACCCCAGATCTCGGCCAGGAATCCGAGACTTCGCCCTCCCCACCCTGATCCTCTATCACCCCTCCCATCTTCCCGCCCCCCACACCCACCCCCGAGTGGCGGGAGGGCGAGGGCGATCCCGGGGCGGGGCGAGCGGGGGCCAGCTGAGGTGGCGGCGGGGTGGGTACGGTCAAGGCGCAGGGACTCACCGCCTGGCTCCGCCAGCTCCATAGCGGACCCTCAGGCACTTCCGGGCGGGAGGTGGCGAGGTCGCAGACACCTGAAGGCACCAG